AAAAAAAAAAGCTAAGCAGGTGAGATGAGCTGGTTAAGACAACAGGGAGGTTTTGAGTGTGAAGGCAATTGAATTAGCTGAGATTAGCTGACAGTGTATGCCTTTCTGGTCTGTCCAATGCTATCTGCAGTGGTAATCTAAAAAAGAAAAAAAATTTCCACTGTGTGTGCAGAAGTATTCATAGGGTCAACGCTGCCTTTTCACTGAAAGAAGATCTTCAGCTGCTCCAGCTGAACTGCTTGCAGTCTTCTACCTGGCTATTGAGTAAATGCCCTAAGGAGAGTGACAATTCCAGGCTAACACATTCATGTGGTGGCTCACTACTAGTGCACTCCAGGCCAGGCATTCAGATAATGAGAATAGTTAGGTACGTTCTTGGGAAAAAAAATGGCTAAAGGCAGAACAAGCAATAAAGACAGTGCCTCCAGCTCCTCCCACGCATGCACTGGGAGACAACTTGGATTTGGAGCTGAGGTCTGGATTCATCCTTCCAGTGCTCTCCCGGGTCTCCTTGCACGCTCAGGCAGCAGGTCCTGCTCACCTGGACTCGTGCAGGTGTGGACACTCACTCTGCCATCCCCTGCTCCATATTCAGGTCAATGCCTCCGTCAGCAAGGCTGCCATCATCTGTGAAAGACGGCTTTGCCATGGAGTTCATGGAGCGGTAGCTGGTGCCGTATACCACCAAACTGAACACAAACGCAAGCTGCAACATGGAAACAGAGGTCAGCCTCGAAAGCCACAACTCCCCAGGCAAAGCAGCAAGGGCAGCACAGGTCTGCTGTTACGCAGCGCTTGCCCATCACTGACATCAAGACTAATCCTGAAAGGACCAGGTTTTCTGCTTGGGCCTAGGTGCACATAGGGGCCACACCAGTAACAGGCCCTCATGGTCCCAGTGAAGGAAGGAATGACTGCCCCCCTCCCCAGCCCATCCTGCCCTCTGCACAGCGCGGGCGAGAGCAGCTTGGTGCTCACCCATGTCCAGACAGAGGCGGTGGGGTAGCAGATCACCAGGTTCACCACTGCGTACACAGCCTGCGGAAAGAGCACAGTGAGGCTGCAGCGGAGGGGCACCGGGCCTTTCCGCGGCTCCAGCCG